TTAAAATTTATTATTTCTATTAAAAAAATTATTATTATCCTATTTATATCGTCGGGCGGCCACCCCTTATTAATTTGTCAAAAAGCAGATTGCATATTTACACGTGTCTGTTTGTCCAAACAAGGAATGCGCCCGCCGAAACAGTGCAAAATTCAAATCTCATTACCACGTTTTCCCCCCAAAAATTTTGTTTTACTTTTCCACGCTTGTTAGCATTATTCAATTATTACAATTTTTAAAATAAAATTAAAACACGCAATTAAAAACAGTCCCAAAAAAATTCTAAAACCAAACACCACCGAAATTTTCATAGAAAGAGAAATTCTGCTGTTAGGGTTTCGACTTTCAAGCTTCACCCCGCCAAACCAAACTCCCGGCATTCAACCGTTCTTCTTCTTCTCCATCCCCTTCGCATGAATCAGAACCCATCCGAATCGCCGTTTCTGTCTGTGGTTCGATCCAGCCCCTTCTCCGGCAATGGCTGCGGCGAGGTCATTGCCTTCTGTGTCGGAGACCGGATCAGAGCCTCGGAAGAACTCCTCGGTATTCACGCCTTTGATTTTGCTATCTCTATCCAAAATGCGTATACAGTTCCCGCTATGATGATTTTTGACTATTTTGTTATATATTTTTATCTCGTCTATAGCGATGCGGCATTGCGTGTAATGGAGCTAATTCAGCTGAATTTGCTTTGTTTGAATTACTTTATGATTCTGTATGCATTTTGTGGATCGTGTTGGTCTTGAGTGAGTGGTATGAAATTGGTACAGTTAAGTTCTTGGATAAAAACATTCTTTCTTTGTAATGGTGGAGTTTGTTTGGATTTTTACAGATGACACAACAGCAAGAAAATACTTCAGCTGTTAGGGAGATCATATCTGTTATTGATTCTCTAAAGAAGCAAGTTACAGCCAACCGGTGTATCTATATTCAGGTGCATTTGGTACCTGATTATTCTTTTTCATACATATATTTTATGTTGTGCTTGTTGTGTATCAATTTGCTTTCTGTTTCCAGAAAAGGCTGGAAGAAAACAGGAAAAAGTTGGTTGGTATCACAAACCATCTTTATAAATTGTCGAATGAGCGAAGCAGTTGGAATAATATTGATAATAATGCGGTAGATCTTTTGACAAAGAGGCAAAATGATGCAATTGGTATGCAAAATGGTATTGAGATAAGCAGTGGGGACAATGATAGTCATAACTCTTACCAACATTCTACAGCAGTTCTTATGGGATCTAGTATTCCAGTCAGGAATGCTGTTCGCCCTATAAAGCTTGCTGTTGTGAAAAGATTACCACCTTATACTACATGGATTTTTCTGGACAGGTGGTTATGATTGCCTTGTATTTTCTGTACTAAACCTAAATGAGATCATTCCATTCTTTATCTATGCACACAATAAATATTTTTAGGAAACACTGTATGTGCTGTGTAAAAGTTATTCATGTGCATGCCTATGGAATATCTTTAGTTCTTATTTATTTATTTTTATCTGTCTTGTATAATTTGTGAGTAATTTACGTTGGTTATGTGTAGAAATCAAAGAATGACAGAAGATCAATCAGTGGTAGGTCGAAGGAGGATTTATTATGATCAAAATGCTGGTGAAGCACTTATTTGCAGTGATAGTGAGGAGGAAGTACTTGAGGAAGATAAAAAAAGAGAATTTGTAGAATCTGAAGATTACATTCTTCGGTTGGTATAACCAAATACTCTAATATGAATATGTGATCCATAATTGCTCTTTTTGATTCCTTTTACTGTCTAGAGGATCTCTTTGTTTCAATTTGCTTTCTGCTGTACATGAGTAGACGGAAAACAGTCTAGAAAATTTTAATTTCTGTAACTAATGTTTCCATGACAATAAAAGGATTCATTTTTGTAAAACTTCATAAATGCTTTAATTTTAAAATTTAAACAAGTTAGGGCATCATTGAATTTGAAACAAAAAAAAGATGTTAGAAAATACTTCACATCAAGTCAGTGTGTCCATTGCCTGTTTAATGTCAGTTGCAAATGTCATGTTGTTTCTGGGACAATTTTCAACCTCTTTCAATTTCTTGATTGTAATGTCAAATCTCAAATATGCAAAAAATTTCTTTTACAGTTTCAATTTCCTTATTTAGTGATCGAAACAAATTCAATAACTTGCACGGTTATTTAAATTTGCTTTTGCAGTATATGTGACTGGCTTTGTCATCTTGCTTTTGTTATCACCTGCTTTTTGCGTGTTTCAAGCTCAGGATCAAAATAATTACCTCATGGTTTTTAACAAACAGCCCTTTACAGTAACTTCATTTGTGTAAAAGGGCATTAAGTGAATCAACTACCTTGGCAAACTTTCAGTTTGTAGAAATGGACAGTGCTGAATGTTTTCTATGAAGTTTGATATATTTTTAGCTAGTAATTCTGTTGTTCTATGCTCTAAAATTTCCAGTGTGACCATCAAGAAAGTTGGCTTATCTGATCCAGTGCTTGAATCGTTAGCACAATGTTTTTCTAGAAGCCCTTGTGAAGTAAAGGTATGTGCCTTTGGTCCAAACTTTTATGTTGGTTTGTTTTTCTTATATTTTAAGAAGTAAACATTTTTCTTTACATGTCATTGTCTTCTCTGCCATTGGTTATCGAATAAAAACTGGTCATACTGTAAACTTTGGTTCAGCTGCTTCCTATTTGCTTTCTGCTGGCTTTACAGAGTGATGAAGCACTATCAAACATCTTATGCAGGCAAGATATGACACTCTGATTAAAGAGGAGAAGGATGCAGGGGCTTCTACAGATGGGGATAATGAAGTCCAAAGTTGGAATGCCTTTATTGGAAAAGATCTTGAAGCAGCTTTGGATTCTTTTGACAATCTATTTTGCCGGCGATGTCTCGTAAGCACTACATGTGCCCCATGTGTTGCTTTGCATGTCATTGTCCTCTAACTTTTTTTTTTTCTTTTCCTTTTTTGTATGTGTAGGTTTTTGATTGCAGATTACATGGTTGTTCTCAGGATCTCTTCTTTCCAGTAAGTTGTTCATGTTTTCCTAATTGTTGAAGGTTTTATTTCTGGCTGGCTTCATATATTCTCTTCACTGCAACACGTTCCATGGTCAGGCTGAGAAACAACCTCCATTGAACCATCTGGATCAAGAAAATGGACCATGTGGCCCAAATTGCTATCTATCGGTAAATTTTGGGTTGTTGGATTGATGTGATATGTATAATACTCATATGTCTTGTGTAATATTTACAAATTGTTTTCTCTCAGATGCTGAAGTTGGACAGAATTGCCACAGTGAGCTGTCCCATGAATGGAGATACTGAAGAGAAGTCTAACTCTTCATCTGATGGCTTAGGGGCACAAGCATCATCTAAAACGAGAACTTTTGGTTTGTCTGCTGGAAGGAAGGTGAAGTCCTACCAAAGTGAAAGTGCTTCATCAAGTGCAAAAATTATTTCAGAAAGTAGTGACTCAGAAATTGGACCCCAACAGGAAGACTTGTCAACTGCCCAACAGTTATCTCCTTCCGAGGCAAAACTTGTTGGAAAATCTGCAATTCGTAAGCGGAACAGCAAGCAAGTTGCTCAACGTGTTCTAGCTTGCATGCGTAAGAAGCAGAAGAAAATGATGGCTTCTGATTCTGTTGTGAGTGAAGGTGTCTCACAAAGTGACACAAAACTCAGGCCTAATACACAAAAGGAAAATGAAGATGCCACGTCTTCTTCACAGAAGAGCGTAAAATCTCCAACAACAGGAAGGTCTAGGCGGAAAGACTGGTCACCTGGTGAAGGTCCTGATGTTTTTCCAAAAGAAAAGAAAGTTGCCCTGCCTGTGGCTAGCAGCAACAGTGCTGCCCCCCAAAAAGCAGAGTTTGTATATGAAAACACACATAAACAAGAAATAAGTGATGATAAGTCTTGGAAAGCTATCGAAAAAAGCCTTTTGGAGAAAGGGATGGAGATTTTTGGCAGGAACAGGTTAGTATGGTGAATCTATGTTGCACTCTAGTGATTTATTACTTTCCCTTTTAATTAGTTTTGATATTCTCATATTCAGGATATTTATATGTTATTAGTTCTCTTCAAACTAGTTATCTTGTTAGGTAATGTTATTCAAACTTATTGGGATGTGAAAGCCATTGTTTCATCATGCTCCTTTTTGTTGGTTTGATTTAAATGTATTAGTACATGCATATTTTAGATTTCTGCAATCAATTTAAATTATTAGGTTTAAACGACTCTATGGATTTAGCTGAAGATTTCTTGGCAGAATCAGATCAAAGCCATTCTTGTTCCTAAATTTCTTTTGATTGTCATATTCTCAAATTTGGACTATTGGCATTAGCAACTCCTGGTCCAAGAGTTTCCTGCAGTCCTGCTACTCTTCTACATAACCCAATTACTGTTTTCCTGTGTTTAATATTTGGTATGAACTGTTGCATTATACAATCACAATCAGCTTTTTGGCTTTCTATCAGTTGATTGTTTACCATCTATTTACAGTTCTTGATTTTCCATGACAGCTGCTTGATTGGCAGAAACCTTTTGAATGGTTTGAAGACATGTTGGGAGATTTTCCAATACATGACATGTTCTGAGAATAAGTTGTCCTTGCAAGCTGCTGATGGTGTGCTTTCTCTCCTTCAAGGCTATCCTAAGTTTGATCTTAATGGAGCCCTGGTTGGTATTTTTGTTTCACTTTTCTTTGAACGTTATAACTTATAAGTACTTCTGTGCTCCAATAAGTGATGCTTTTCTTTCTTTTTGACAATCATGCTCTTTATTTTTATTTTTAACTTTCCCTTTTCTTGAATGTGGGGGTTCTCAATAAATATTAGGGCAATAAAGGAGCAAGAAGAAGATCGAAATTTTTACGTAGAAGAGGTAGAGTCCGTCGCTTGAAGTATACCTGGAAGTCTGCGGCTTATCATTCAATTAGGAAACGAATTAGTGAGAGGAAAGATCAGCCATGCCGCCAGTATAATCCATGTAATTGTGAAACAGCTTGCGGCAAGCAGTGTGCTTGCCTTTTAAATGGGACCTGCTGTGAAAAGTACTGTGGGTGAGCAACTGTTTGGATTTTATGCATTATTCACTAATTTGGCCTGATTTGGTGTTCAAAATCTAGGTGTACGTTCATGCTTTTTATGCAAGAAATTATCTTATCTTGATGGAGGGATATTGTCAGCTAACATTTATTTGTTTATCCAGTTGTCCAAAGACTTGCAAAAATCGTTTTAGAGGTTGTCATTGTGCTAAAAGTCAATGTCGGAGCCGTCAGTGTCCCTGCTTTGCTGCGGACAGGGAATGTGATCCAGATGTTTGCAGAAATTGTTGGGTCAGGTGAGCTTTAATTCCCCCCTCCCTCTCTTTATTTATCTGTCAAGTTATCTAGTAGCATGTCCATAGGAAAAAAGTCGTTCTCCCTGGTTCTGTGTTCTAAAGTTGTTATATTGTAAAGAGTAACCATTATGTTAGGCACTAAGCTGTTTTTTTATATATTACAAACCATGCTAATGTTCTAGCATCTGAGCATTTGAATTGACTATGCAGTTGTGGTGATGGTGCTGGTACTCTTGGCGTTCCTCCACAAAGAGGTGACAATTATGAATGCAGAAATATGAAGCTTCTTCTTAAACAACAACAAAGGGTACTTGTCTTTCTATTTCTTCTCATTTATTGAAACCTTCATGTTAGATGTTTTTGCAACTATGTTTGTGAAAGTATTTTTCTCTGTTCATGAACTAGTATTTGGAGAATTACCACATTCACTCGGTATCCTATGGGTTTGAAAAAATCACCCTGTTCTGTACTTATTAAGCTGATTAATTTTGGTTTACTTTGGTTATTAGTTTTAAATTTCATATTTAACAAGTTGTAGGTTTTTGTTTTTAATTTTGGTTTTTAGTTGTCAATTTTGGTCATTCAAATTTTGACAACAAAAACAAAAACCAACAGCAGCAACATTATTAAATGGGCCCTTAGATTGCATGGTTGTGTTCACACAGTTTGCATGTCATTTATGCACAGGTCTTGCTTGGAAGGTCAGATGTTTCAGGATGGGGAGCTTTCTTGAAGGTAAATGTAAAACCTTAGGCCTTAGGTTTTCTTCTTTCCCTTTTACTGATTAATCTTAGGAATCCTTCAGAATAGTGTTGGCAAGCATGAATACCTTGGTGAGTACACTGGGGAGCTGATTTCACATAAGGAAGCAGATAAACGTGGAAAGATTTATGATCGTGAAAATTCATCATTTCTCTTTAATCTGAATGATCAGGCAAGTCCAATTATCTTTTTATTTTGTATTAAAATGTAATCACTTTACCTCTTTCAATTGTTTAGCCAACGTGACTAATCTGATGCTCTTTTCTTCAGTTTGTTCTTGATGCTTACCGAAAGGGTGACAAGTTGAAGTTTGCCAACCATTCTCCTGATCCTAATTGTTATGCTAAGGTATATCCCAGACTCCCAGACCACATTGGAAATTCCCTTTGTTCACATACAGTTATTACTTACTTCAGACATTTTCCTTTACCATTATTTCTACAAAGATTCAAGCTTCAATTCAAGTGTTTTGCCCTTCATGTGTTCATGCTAAGCCATTGTTTGGCAGGTTATCATGGTAGGAGGGGATCATAGGGTGGGCATTTTTGCCAAGGAACGGATTAATGCAGGAGAGGAACTTTTCTATGATTATCGTTATGAGCCAGATAGAGCTCCTGCTTGGGCTAGGAAGCCAGAGGGATCTGGGTCAAAGAAAGAGGACGGGGCTCCATCAAGTGGTCGTGCAAAGAAGCTTGCTTAAGCTAATCATTTACTTATATCTTAAATTCAAAAATTTAGCCATTCTTTTATAGGTAGAAGGATCATTCTCATTTTACTGATAGATGATAGGAAAGGGTGCACCCTCTATCATTTTGTTGTTGGAGGGGCCATTTAATCTCCATTGATAACTCATTCAATTTTTTCTAAAATTCATCCTTAGTCCAAAGTAAAATGTGCTCATTCATTGAATCAACTTGACCTGAATTCACAACATTCTTGTAAAAGGGAATGCCTCCTTGCTGACCAATGTTGTTGTGAACCTTTTTCCTTTTCCAGCCGAAGACCAATTCAGGTAATTTTGGTTGACCCTTGAATCCCTATTACTCATCCTTTTTCATTGTCGCACTAATTGTTTTTAGTATAAGATACCTGATGCTATATGATTTTCATCAGAATGTCTGTTATTAAGAGTGGGAATCAGAATGTCTGTTAATTAAGAGTGGAGAATCATTAATTGTTTATTTAACTTATCAGTTTGAGGCGGACTATCAAGTATTGTCCAGTTGAGATTTATTTTGGATGGGTGGTGTTATTGAGATTATTTTTGTTTCATTTTTTTATATAATTTTCATATATTATTAAATGAGTAGATACATTTAATATCATGAGTTTTATATAAATTAAAACAATCAATTATTTTAATGATACGTTAAATTATTAAAAAAATAATAATTATTTTAATAGCATTTTTCTTTGGAGGTTCGTCTAACACGTAAGTATTTTCTTCTTTCTTTTTTTTTTTGGTAAAAGAATACCACGTAAGTATTTTCTTCGTGGTATTATTCTTACCTTTTCCTGTTTGCCATGACTATTTTAAATGGGTGTGGCATTTCCTACCAATCAAAGCAAGCTTCCCTACACGTTATGCCTTTAATAATGGTTAGCTTGCCTCCTCAAACCAAAGCCACCTACCCCATTGGCAGAAACACCGTCCTTACTGGAGATCTAGATTAGTAAGTTATGGCCATTTTCAGCTGCAGTTGCAACTGCGTATGATAAAGGGCAAAAGCCAATAAGTTGTCAAAAGATCAAAAGAAACTGCAGCCCTGCCGCCTCCTTCGAAAGAAAGATTGAAAATCTCTCCTCTAATTGCCCAACAAAACACAGCGTGCCTCTGTGCTGGACAGCCTGCCCCTACCCCACCACGTGAGGTGCACTGGAAGTTTTATCCACTTAATTGGGCAATGTGCCCAAATCCTAAACGACAGATCTTGGAAATATTAAATGCTGGTAAGTGTAAGATTGTGCAACGAAATATTGGTAAATTTAGGGGCAGTCCCAGATTCCCAAACATGAATCTGGAAGCTCGAAGTAGAACTAGGTTGAGCAAATCCAAGTTTTTATTCTTAAAACAAAAATTATGTAGCTCCTTGACTTTTATTTTTTTTTTTTTTGGCTAATGCTCCTCAACTTTATTAGTGGCATTTTGGTCTCCAACTTATTATGAGCTCTTCATTTACACAACCGTCGTAGAAAGTAGAAACGCCCAAAGTTAAACGGCACCTGCCCATGAGTCACCTCCTTCATTGTGGTAATTTTCATCACGTACGAATGGTATGGTATTTTAAATGATGCACATGTGGCAACCGCTAGACGTGAAAAAATTTTGTCCAATTCCATGTGTCTAATGTTATCCACGATTGAATGCCCTTTTTTCAAGCTTTTTCTTTCCAGGCCTGCTAATCCGTAGATAAAGGGCTTATTCGTCACAAAATACTTAGAGACGCTTACACACCCTTTTAAGCAAAGGTAAGTGGTTTAAGAAATAGTTTTGCCAAATAAATATCCTGTGAAACGACATCGTTGGGATAAAGTTGGGGGACGAAGAGGGTGAGGTAGCAGCCCGCGTTTAGTCTCCGAAACGTTGTCACTATCTGAAACAGTAATCTCACTTTTCCTTTGTTCCTTCTTTTGCTTTAATATCTTGTATCCATCACCGGGTTCTTCGATCCGTCATTCTGCTCGCTATTTCTTGGAGCTCTGCATAAGCAGACACTAATGTTGTCGTGTTTCTCAGACCACCGAAGCTTGTGCAGAGCCCCAACAATTCCTTTCCTCTTTTTGTTACTCTTCTACCTCTTCAACATTTCCATTTCTTGCTCTGATGGCACCTGCCAGGTTCTTCGTCTCTCTCTCTCTTTATTCATGATCCGTACAGTTTTGTTTTGTTTTGGTGATTGCGAACTGAATTTAAATCAATTTGCAGCTTTTGGAGTCGTGTTCCGCCTCGACTGACTGTGGTCGGAGTCTGTATTGTGGAAACTGCCCTGCTTTAGGCAAGACCCAACCCATCTGTACCAGAGGCCAGGCGACCATACCCACTGCCTTTGTAAGCTTCATTTGCATTTGTATTTTCACCTTGTTGATGGGTATTGGCTGTTTTATTATTTTCCTTTTGCAATTTGTAATGTGGTTAATTGCTATTTTCAGCTAATCAGTATCACTATTTGTGTTGGTTATAAACTTTTTGCATCTATTTGTGTATATTTGGTGATGAGTTTTAACTGTTTTTTTGGGAATCGGCATCTGAGTGTAAGCAGCCAACCCAACGAAGAGTAGATTAGTGTTTGCTTCTTCATTTTTGTTATTCCTCTTTGTGATTTAAACCAATTTGGTGATAGAGATGTGTCTTTTTTTTCCGCAAATCTTGAGCGGCAGATTGGTGGGTTGCCTTTCAACAAATATTCTTGGCTGGTAACACATAATTCCTTCAGTATTGTGGATGCACCACCATTGCCTGGCGTTCAGAGGCTGACATTTTACAATCAAGAGGACACGGTTACAAATCAGTTACTGGTATGTGTGTGCTCTTTCTTTTCCTTATAAACACCAGTTTGGCCTACTTAATTGTTCGAAACTAATAGGCATAAAATGTAAAATTTGAAACAATCAAATAATTCATAGAATTTTATATTTCTCCACTGTCGTTTTTGTTCACCTTCTTGTTAATCTTCTATAGACATTTATTTTCTTTTGTTAACTTTTCTTGTTTTTGTTGATGATTTTCTTTAGAATGGAGTGAGAGGGCTGATGTTGGATATGTACGATTTTGAAGCTGATATCTGGCTCTGCCATTCATTTAGGGGGCAATGTTTCAACTTCACTGCCTTTGTAACCTATCTTTCCCTTTTGTCAATTTACTGGTTATGTTTTGTTTATTAAGGTTACAGTTTTTGAAGTAGTATGTAATATGTCTATTGGATCTTTCTCAGCAACCTGCGATTAACACGTTGAAGGAAGTTGAATCTTTCTTGAGTCAGAATCCAACAGAGATTGTCACCATTATAATTGAAGACTATGTGCATGCACCAAAAGGATTGACTAAGCTGTTTGCTAATGCTGGTCTGGACAAGTACTGGTTTCCTGTGTCCAAGATGCCAAAAAAAGGTGAAGATTGGCCCACTGTGAATGAGATGGTGCAAGCAAATCACCGCTTACTGGTTTTCACTTCTGTTGCTTCAAAGGAAGCAGAGGAAGGAATTGCTTATCAATGGAAGTACATGGTGGAAAATGAGGGTACTGAATATATGTGAATATCTTTTAATAATTTATATTTGATAATTGTCCGGTAACATCCTCATGATTATTGGCCTCAGCTGGAGATCCTGGTGTGAAACCAGGCTCATGCCCGAACAGGAAAGAATCAAAGCCACTGAATTCAAGAAGTGCCTCTCTTTTCTTAATGAATTACTTCCCAACATATCCAGTTGAAAATGAAGCTTGCAAAGAGCATTCAACACCACTTGCTGAGATGGTTGGCACCTGTTACAAAGCAGCAGGACATGTAATGCCCAATTTTGTGGCAGTCAACTATTACATGGTATTAAGTAATCACTTACAGAACACAAGTTTTTATGCTAAAATAATACCAACTTAGCACTCTAACAGGAGATAAATCGTGCAGAGGAGTGATGGAGGAGGTGTTTTTGATGATTTGGATAGAATGAATGGCCAGACATTATGTGGTTGTAGTACCATTGCTGCCTGCCAGGTTTGTCTAATTGCTAGCCTGAATTACTTCAGTTTCAATTCTACTAGCCGAAAAAAAGAAAAAAAGAAAGAAAGACCAAAAGACCATCCCGCTTTATATACTCATTTTTTGGCACAAGACTATATTCTTTCTGGTATGCTAGGCAGTGGACCATGGGAGATTATATTGCATCTGGAATTAACCAAGATTTCAGAACTTTTCACCATATTATGGAAAGATTCCTCATTTGTTCCACCCTTCATTGCATGACAGATTAATGACAACACAAAAGAACCAATCTTTTAATCTTATTAGATCACTGTGGATACCTAGGAGTTTTATTGTGAAGGACTTCTAGACCTGGTAATCGTATACTTATAGTCTAAAGCATTGGGTTAATTTGATTTTGCAGGCAGGAGCACCTTTTGGATCTTGCAAGAATATTGCTGTTCCTAGTACAAGTCCAGTAACCAATACTCCAGGTGCAGGAAGCTTTTCTGGATCTGTTCAGCTCTCAAGTACTGCTTCAACACTCTGTTATACCACTCATTTGATCATGTTGTTGTGTTCTTTACCACTTATTATGTTTTTGTTGTAGCTACAAAGTATTATTTTCCACAATAGATGTTTAGTACTAGCACCTTTAGGAGGGGCTAATATACTGCATCCCCTGTTGGGTAAAAGATTAAGGGATGGTCAGTTACAAAGTATTATCGTCCACAATAGATGGTTAGTACTTGCACCTTTAAGAGTTACTGATCTCATTTTAAAAGAAGTAAAGATTCTTCTGATGAAGAAAAAAATGGTTGTGCTGGAGTCTTAGATAGATGGAGGCCAAGACCCAAGAGAGACCTGGAAATTTCCCAAGTAGTTAAGGTATGCAATATACTTCTTTACGCAGCTTTTGTCTTTTAGATCATAAATTTGAAGGAAACACCTTCCCTTTAAGTTTATTAAATGATAAAAAGAAATCTATGATGATTGTATACAATAACTTTTTTGGGCAAAGAAGAATCAGCGGCCTATACAACAGGCAGCATAGAAGTGCTTCCAATGTTCATGGGCAGTCCTCTGGGTTTTATTTGGAGGGCAGGACTAATCGTAAGCAGACTAATGAAGCAGTCTAGAGGAACTCTTATTCCCCATACATTGATCGACTCCAGTTTGTGACATTTACTTACAAGAATAAGAAGCCCGCTTTCAGTAACATGACGGCAGCTCCAAAGGAAAATACTCTGGTGAGAGAGCAGCAGTATTTTCTTTTAGTATCAAGGAAAATACTGGAAATTTTGGCTTATTCAAGAATCACAATGTAAAGGCAAGAAAGAAAAGTATTTCAGCAAAAGAGGTGAATTTACAGAGAACTTGCCTTTAGAAGTGGACAGCTATCTGCAATGGCTTGTAATGATTCATCAGTGATAAATGTACCCCCAACATTCAGGTGTTGCAAGGAATTAGCTCTCGAAATCTGTTGAGAAAATCAATGATGAAATGAAAAATGAGAAGAGAATTAGGTCCCCACTGAGGAAGCAAAATGTAACCAAGGACATAGATCTAAATGATTAATATGAAAAAATATATCCATGTTCATCTTCAGAGACAAAATACTTCAGAGAAACTACCAGATAACTAGCTAGCTACACATCAAAGGCAAAAGATGTTATTAGCAAACTGTGTGTTCTGTAAGTAAAACAGCACTACATACCAATTGAACAACACCTTTGTCTGTGATCCCTGTCATGCCCCACAAGGATATTGATGTCAAGTTGCCCACACACTTAGCTAGAGATATTTTATAAAGTCCATCATCAGTTATTTGGCAACCCCAACGGCTCCTTGAACTGACATTAGGGTTACAATAATCAGTAAATCTAGAAAATGAAAATCCAGTGTATCAAAATTGATAACTCAGGTATAACCTATGGTGATGAGATTCAGACAGCTTCCAAATTCTTCATGTGGATACATGTCTACAACTACAGATTACATCCATTTCCCATATAGTGTAAAAAAAAAAAAACATGACCAAAGGATAAGAAAAGAAAAGAACAAGGAAAACAAGAAAATGCTACACTAAACCCACAATCTTTGTTGCGGGTTACCACTACACCAGAGGTTCCATTTACAATTTATATTCATATCTTAGAATCCACCCAAAAAAAAAAAAAAAAAAAAATGCTACACTAAACCCACAATCTTTGTTGCGGGTTACCACTACACCAGAGGTTCCATTTACAATTTATATTCATATCTTAGAATCCACCCAATAAAAAAAAAAAAAAAAAAATCCTCATCATATTTCAACTTCGGATCCTCCAAAACTCTGGATTATTCTTCTACTTTGTGCTACTGCTAATCAAAACTCAAAATCACAAAATATTGCATGTTTTCAAGTCAAACATCCTACCTCAAATGCGATGATTGACTTTTTTTTTCATAAAATAAACAATGCCTTTAATTACATTCTGTAAGTAATATTAAAAAAATAGAAAACAAACATTGACACGCAACAAAAGAAGAGAGAAGAAGGAAAAAACAAGAAAAAGAGGAAGATTACATGTCAAGTTCTTTGAGGCTGTAAGCATGGCGGACGAGACGGGCGGTGGAATCATCATCCATCTTCCAACCGGCGAAGCTCAAAGTCTCCCTTCTCGCCAACGACTGCTTCACCCCCTGTTTCCATTTCCGGCACACACTACTCGCCCTGAATGCAAAAAAACACCCATAATAATAAAAAATAAAAAACCCAGAAAACCCAATTTGAAGATGCATTCATTTGTGGTACCAGAAGAAGAAATTGATTTTAAAAACTTACTGCGCCAAATCGGTGAAGGAAGTCATCATTGCGAAAATATGAGCCAAGAGATCAATCGGCAAGCGATCAATCTCTGCCTCCACCTCCATAATTTCTGACGAACCCAAGAGGCAGAGGGGTTTCTGAAGCCGGGACTTGAGTTGGTTTGGAACATAGAACTTCAGAGGTGATTTATAGCAGCGAGAGGAATCGAAGGGGAGAGAGAAATGTGGTCATGGTTTTGTCACCATTTCACGAATTTGTCCTATATTCAATAAATCAATTTTAGTAGGCAGAAGCTGCAATTTAGCCGCTCTACTTAACTTGTTGTGACATATCAGCTCCTCTATTTAAAAGTAGTGCAAATCAACCCCTCTAATGCTCAAATTGCGCTAATCAGCCCTTTTGATGTCAGAAAATGTCATATTTCTATCTGCCATTCCGTTATCCATTAACAGAGGATGACCAGGTGAGGATATAGTGCTGACCTGGACCCACCTAGAATTGTTTTTCTTTTTATCATGTGATTAGATATTTAGTATTAAAATTTTCATAAAAAAGTAGTTAGTATTAAATATATGAAGAAAAAAAAAAAAGGAACGATAAAAACCCATTAACAGAGCAACTTTTGCTCGGACCATGGGCTAGAGATTGGTGGCGTTGGTCCTCTATGCCGCTACTTTTATAACTAAACATTTCAAATAAACAATAAAAGGGGTAGATTTAGAAAACTATAATTTTCTTCAATTTTCCTTCACTTTCTCAGCAACTACATAAGAATGAAGTAGTAAAATTTTAACCAGCACTCCACCATAATCATGAATTTGGTTTAGGGACAAAACCATCACCACAAAACCATCACCATAGCTGTTTCTCCTCCTTCCT